TGAACTTGCCGCGAGAACCTTGACACCAAGCTACAGTAGCATGACTGAGACCGATTTGCATAAAAAGGAGACCTCCGAAGACTTGTAGTCCAGTGTCGTCATGATACTCGTCTTGTTCCTACCAAGAATCCCGGTTTTTCCAAACTTTGCGAACGAAGAAGCTGCCCCGTGCTTGCCGACTTTTCCATGTTTTACTTGAGGACAACCAAAGATTCAAGCTTAGGGGAGTTTGATAACACGAAATCATATAGATATTTTTATGCATAATTCAACTAAAGTCTAACCGTTTTCGATCCGATTTCGGGTTATTTCCGTGTATTTGTCTGATGTTTTGCAGGTATTCAACGATCACGTCTAAACAAGGCAACATGAAGAAAAGAAGCAATCTCAGATGAAATATGGACAAAAAAGGAGTGAAAACACAATGAAAAGCGCAGCAAGCTGTTTTTGCTGATGTGACGACCGTCACAACTTCATGACGACCGTCACACGGGTGACGACCGTCACACCTTGTGACGACCGTCATGCAGGCAAAAACGCCCCACTCAGATTACACGTCAAAGAATCAGTTCCAATTCCCACAGAGTGGACCACTACTCCCTAAATTATCTGCCTCAAAGTCCATCATCTTCAGTGATAACCGTTGGGATTCCACTTCTATAAAAAGGGAAGCAGGGGACTTCAAAAAGTGTGCTGCATTCATACCACGAAGTGCTGCCGAATTTACTTTCCAGAGCATATTTTTCCAACAATATTCTTATTTGTTTCTCTTTACCTTTCCTGTATTGCTTTTTCCATTCTTCTATAATTTCTACTTGTACTGTACGATCAATTTGGCATTAGAGATCAGAATCCTGCCAACATCTGTGGAGGATCTGCCCAAAGGCCAATTGGAATATTTACAGGTTTTCATTTTGATCGATTTCAGTTTTATTATAATGCAAATCATTATTTATTGTTTTTATTTATATTTTATCTTTCCCAAATCCATGTCTAGCTAAACTTAGGTAATCGATATGTAGTAATAATTCGAATGGGATTTGATAATAACTGGTTGAAAAACTTTCTTTTCAAAAAAGTAATTTATGGTCTGAGTGTTTAAAATTGATTTACTAAATAAACTTCGTCGCGAAAGCGATAACTTATTTGAAAGTAGTTTTGCCACGAAAGTGGGAAATTAATTAAGATACGAACCAACAAGCGAAAGCTGCGGTAAGGTCAGATAGTAAACACTAGTCATTCATTTTAATAACAGCGAAAGCACTTTAAAATGAATTAGAACTTAGAGATTTCCAAAAAGTAATTTTAACCCCGAACGGGATACGAAAGTGTACGTTTGCCCCTTAGGATTATGATTAGCGTCAATAACCATCGTGAGGCGAGAGTCTTCAAATCACCATTTTCTGCTTAAATAAACTTTGAAAATTATTTCATACACCAATAACTTATCAAATCCCTGAAGAACACAATTACTACGTATCGATTCAATCAATTATAATCTAAATAGTATTCTTAGTTCCCTTTTAGTGAAAATCTTATTCCCTTAAACTTATTCTACCTAGCTAAACATAGTAACTCCCGAGAACACTAGTTTGACTACGAGTCCCTGTGGGATCGATATCTATTATTACTACGCGATAGACTGTACACTTGCAGTTAGGTTGTATTAGACATAGAAAGTCGCGATCAGAATCTTCTGTTGGCAGCAATCAGAATCTTCTAATGAGTGCATTTGGCGCTTCAGAGTCTAGTTAATTTCTTGCATTCAATTCAGATTTGCTTCTGGAGTATTAATTTCTTTACTATCTGCAGTAAAAACTCTCAAGTAAATTTTAGAGTATATAATTCTTAAGTACAAAATTTCCTAATAGTTATCATCAAAACATAGAGATATTATTAAGAACCAATCTGTGTTCTAACAATGTCATGCCTTTTTCTTTCGAAACCTTTTATATCAACTCGTCAATTAAATCAATTTGATAGCATTGTAAATCTTCCAGTTCGATTACAAAATATGCACACTCTAGGAGAGTTCTTAGCATTATTGAAACTACCTTTATGCTTGAAATTTGGTATGTGTGCAAAATTCACCAAAAAAGAATTGTCCTCAATTTGTAATAGATTCTTATGATTGTTTTCTTCTTGAACCACAAGAGAGTAAATGCGATTAATGGATGGAAAACATCTCTGAGTAAAACTTGAGTTTTAATAACTAAAAATGTATCATTTAAACTAGTGAGAAACTACATGGCTTAATCTTCAAGTCTATAATCTTGAGCTTTTTGAGCAACATTACAATGACATTTATGAGCTCAAGTACATATTGGTAATGAACTATTAGAGTTAAGCCCTGTTACCTTGGATTTTTCGACCTAGCTATAAGTGGCAAGTGTCAATAAGATTAATAATAAATATGCCACGTGGAAAATCAAAGTAGAATGGAGTCACATGAAAATCAAGTTGACTCAAGGTCGGAGGTCACACAGAGTGATATCGGTCGAAGGTGGTAGAGTCGAAAGACATTGTGAGAGGTGTGGGGACTTAGTGAAATTGATTATTATGCTATGTTGGCTAAGGTTGGAGTTCATCACTACAATGGAAACAATGTCGGCTTGGACATTACGCGTGGAAAGTACTACAGAGTGTGTTGTCGTAACATGGTCTATTTCAAATACCTCGACGTGGTTAGTCAGTTCCTAGTGACTAGTAAAAGTAGTTAAGATATTTGAATAGTGTTAAAGAGCGGGAAATGGTTTAACATAGGCAGTTACTTAGAAGCACGTGGGAGCTCGTCGGAGGGAACAACTACATGGATGTGAGACATGTCACACTAGGGTTAGTCGATCGTTCTTAGGCAGTTACTTTAGAGTATTATATAAAGGGACTCATGTCCATAATGTAAAGGGTTCGCAAGTGTACACACATTTCTGCAAACTCAAAGTATCTTCGTGTTGAGAAGCGAGTGAGAAAAGATGTACGTATGCGTTCCACCATTTATACACTTCAAGCATTTTTATAACCAAGTACTTTTATGCATTAAGTTACTTTTCAGTTGCCTTTACAATCTCTGTCATTTTTTTTCACTTGCATTTTGATTCCAAACCTTCACTTTACTTGCATTTCGATTTTTAGCCTTTTCATCATTAAAACCTTTCTTTACTTCAAGTGTCATTTATACGCCACAACAAATATTTTCGAGAAATACAGTTCGATTTCAATAGCAAAATGGTTTTCAAAGTAATAAACGCACACAAATATGTTTCGAGAGATTTTCAAGTTTGATCTCTTAAGTATTAATAGAAACTTATATTTGTTTACCAAATTTCACAGTAAACAAGCTCCTCCCACAACTCCTTTAATTCAAGAAAATACTCCATAACAAATCTTGAATTTTGTTTCAGGTTGTTAATGGATGAACGCAATTTAGAGATTCTGACACAATTAACTTTTGAAAATCATTCCAAACATTTAATGCATTTTCATGAAGCAATTTGATCAATAACCGAGTTTATTATCCAAGAATGTATGAGATGATTGTAGTGTTCCCACCTAGCAAAGATATATAATCATCATCAGGAACTTCAATGGATTCCATTAACAAATTTCAACTTATTCTTGACTCCCAAGGAACATTTCATGGACTTGCTCCAAGACAAATAATTGGAACCATTGAGCTTTGGAGTAACATTAACGGTGTTGGGACCTTCACTTAGAGGAACATAATAGATGGAAGCAATGAAGAATACGAAGAAGAATACGATTATGAAAAGAAGGTGAAAATTACTGTAAGAAATTATGCAGAAAATTGCAGATGGAGATCAATGAGAAAGGAAAAGGGAAATCATCAAATGATGAACTAAAAATGCAACACAAATTTGCAGGTTGATGAAGAATGAATGAGAAAGAAAGTGAGTGTTCATTGATTGTGCTGATACCATATTGAGATAATCAAAATGAACATGATGAAAGTTAATTCTCATTAAAGAAAGAACGAATACAAGTTATAGCTTATATACAAACTATGTTACTTGCACTATAAGATACAATAGATCAGCTACACCATAGTATACCTTAGCTCACAAGTAATAACCCTTAACTACCTCTATAACTAACTTCTAACAAATTCAAAGTTAGTTAACAATATGTAGTCTTGACTCATTCTCCTTTTTGTCCTTTATCACTCTTTGATTCCTTGTCATTTGCCAACTTCAATAACATAATTTACAGAATTAAATATAACATAATTTTTTTAACTTAAAATACCACTAAAAAGCTATATTTCTCTTTTATGATATATATATATATATATATATATATATATATATATATATATATATATATATATATATATATATATATATATATATATATATATATATATATATATATATATATATATATATATATATATATATATATATATAAATAAAGTAATTTTTATAAATTAAATTTTATTATTGCATTTTATGTAATACTTATTATGTTGGAGTGATGTAACTAAGAGAACTCTGATTTTATTTATAAGAAAACAAATTTAATTTTAAAATTTATTGAATAAATAATATATCTAGTATTCATATTGTTCAAATAGATCACTTATTCATGTATATATAAAAAAAAATCCTTATAAAATAGACCATAGGTTCATAGCATTTCTCTTAAGAAATTTGACACAATAAACTTTTCTCTAATACACATAGGACTAGAATTTAAAAGAGTAAAGTGAAGAAAAACATCTGATTTGTTTTTGATACGAAAAACAGAAAGTTGCAACAATTAACTGACGCAACACTTTACATCCAAGTATCCAACGCAGTAGTACTGTTTGCGGCAGCTGGTTCTGTGATGACATGAGACCACTTTTGTGTGCTCTAGTTCCCATACACAACTCATATTCCCAACGATGTTTGGACCAGCAGAAAGACAAAAACACTTGGCAATGTTTGTCACATGATATTTATATGGTTTTCAATATCATTTTTGTTTCAACAAATAGAATCATGGATGGTTCACGGGTGACAGAGAGTCTAGACTCTCTTTGGTTCTACACTAACGTCTTTACTGCATCAACACATGAACATGCTGCACCTTCTTTGACTAGTCCATTTTCACCAGCACTTGAAGAAGAAGTGGTGAGAAAATCTGTGAGGGAATCAGAGAAGAAAGAGAGGAGAAAGAGGAGGAAGAAGACGGTTGCAATTGTTAAGCAGCAAAATGAAATGCCTCCATTAGAAGATGATGTGGCAATGAAACAACATCTCAAGTCATGGGCTTATGCTGTTGCATCTCATGCACTCTCAAATAAACCTATTTCTAAGGTTAAGCTTATGAACTCTCTAGTTTAACTCCAGCTTCTTCTTTTTTTTGTTGTTGTAAATTTCTCTCAATGGGAGAACATAACTACTGTAACCTTGTTAATTAATGCATGTTAATGTAATGTTGTAATGTTGTTATAATTAACAGTACTTTTAGCTTTGATTCTCTTCTGTTCATCTTAATTTATATTACAGTCAAATATAGACAAGAGGTACCCATGCCATTTTTCTAGCTCAGCCATAGTGAACTTCTTTGGATCCATACTATACAGACCGACCATAGACCTAGAAGTCGGAGAGACCCAATCATAGAAGTGTACAATATCTAAGATACATTTATGGGAGAGAAATTCTTAAAGCACCCCTTTATATTTCTAATACAAGTAAATTATTATTTATTTATTATAATTAAATTTATTTAATGGCTTTTAGTTGATAATAGAATCATTGTATCCAATCATAACTGGAAAAAAAAAATTGATCTTGAATAAACTTTTATTTATTTTTAATTTAACTATTATTTATGTTTTTTTATTTATTGTTGGCTATGTAAAAGATTAAATTTTCTCTAAACTTAGATCAAGTAAAACTTGTCTATAATATGTATTTCTTTTATAAGAACTTGTCTATAATTATTACTTCCACTCTTTTGCAAAATAAATGTCGCATTTATAAAATTTATTTATCTCAAAATACGTGTCATTTTTAATTTTTAATGTAATTTTAATTTTGATCTTTTAATTATATCTTCAAATTAATATTCTTAATTTACTATTTTTCTTACATTATATTAATGATAATTAGAATGCACCAATAACTAATAAGAATGTTTTAGTAAAATCGTTATTTTCTTTTTCATTTACCACATTTTATTAATATGTTTGAATGTATCAAGTATGACACTTATTTTAGGACGATGGAAGTATTATTTATTCTTAAACTTTTTGTAAGTTATGTGATTTTGGGATTGACAACAATTTTGATAAAACAAGTATCACAACAAGATGTTGAGTAAGATGTATTGACATGTTGGTCAGACATTATTTACAGTAATATTGTCACACACGATGTAGTGACATGTTATACCAGGTTACAGAGTTTTACTTGTTTGGAAGATTTGTTTTTAAAGTGTGAGATTCTATTTGGCTTTAGTTCACACTCTGCCGCATTCCAATAAGGGTTATTTTAGGAACAACAATTTGTGCCAGAAGCATATTTGTTTCATAAAAAGGATCTTGAAGACTTTTTAGGAAATTTTCTATTTTGTTCCTGGCTTCATGCAGAAGATCTTGTAGAAGATTTGCAGCTGTTGTTTTAAGATATGTGTTTTATTTAGATGAAGAGCTTAAGCCCATGCTGATCTAAAGATATATATAGAGTTGTTCTAAACCTAATGAATTATTGAAGTCGTGTATTAAAAGAAGAGTTTTTTGGTTTAGTGTGTCCTTTGTTATTTGATACACTCTGATATCACCTTGATATCTGAGTTGGCCTGTGTTTATTATTCTTTGTGAGTCATTCGTGTACCTCTTAGGTGCTTGAATTAGACTGTGTTTGAATTGTAATAACTCATAAGCTTTTAAGCAAGAGTAAATTTTGTGTCACTAGAAGTGTGTCTTCTATTATTCTTTGTTCTTGGTTTTATCACTGTTGTGTGATTGAAGAGAAGTGAGAGGGGTTTCATATCTAGGAATTTCTTAGATAGAAATAGTACGTGTAGTGATTAGGTGCAAAGTTTATAAAACCAGAGGTTGTTTAGAACTTCAAACTAATATTATTATAGTGGATTTCCTTCCTGGCTTGGATGTACACAGATGTAGGTGACGTTGCACCGAACTAGGCTAATAATTGATTGTGTTATTTACATGCATCCATTTACTTTAACTGCATGATTATTTATTTTGTCATACTGTCTTGATCCTAGTGTTGTGACATCTTACTCGAAATTTGGTGTCTGATTACCAAAATTTCAATTGGCATCAGAGCAAGCATCCTGTTCAGTTTAGGGTGAGCTCCAGGGAAGTTTTGTTCTAGTACTATGAAAAATGAAGGAGGAGGAAATGTTAACAGACCCCTAGTCATAGATGGAACCAACTATACTATTGGAAGACACGTATGGTGGCTTTCCTAAAATGCATGGATAGCAAAATCTAAAAAGCTATCATCAAGGGTTAGGAACATCATGTGGTTAAGGATAAAGATGAGAAGGATACTTTGAAGCCAAAAGAGGACTTGACTAAGGAAGAAGATGAAACTGCTATTGGAAACTCCAAAGCTTTGAATGCCTTCTTCAATGGAGTTGACCAAAACATGTTCAGGTTAATAAACACCTGTACTGTGGCCAAATATGCTTGAAAAATTCTCAAGACCACTCATGAAGGCACATCTAAAGTGAAAGTGTCTAGACTTCAGCTGCTCACTGCCAGATTTGAAAATCTAAAAATGAAAGATGATGAAAGCATTCATGACTTTTATGTGAATGTTCTTGAAATAGAAAACTCTTTTAGTACCTTGGGAGAAAAGATATCAGAAGAAAAGTTTATTATGAAGATTCTCAGATCTCTTTCTAAGAGATTTGACATGAAGGTAACAACCATTGAAGAAACTGAAAACATCAGCAACATGAGAGTTGATGAACTTGTTTGGTCACTTCAAACTTTTGAATTGACTACTAATGATAGAACTGAAAAGAAGAACAAAAGCAAAACTTTTGTCTCCAACACTGAAGATGAAGAGGATCAATTTGACCTGAACATTGATGAAGGAATGTTCAATGCCATTGTTCTGCTTGGAAGGCAATTCAACAAGGTGCTGAAGAGAATGGACAGAAAGTCAAGACCTAATGTTACAAACATTGTATCTGACATCAACAAGAACTATGATTCTCAAAGAAAAGCAAGAACATAATAAAGGCTCAATCAAAGTAAAGGGGTTCAGTGTCATGAATGTGAAGGGTTTAGGCACATTAGCTTAGAATGTCCTACCTATCTAAAGAAACAACAAAAAGGGCTATCAATCTGAGAAAGAATCTGCTAAATCTGTAACTTTCTTTAACTGAAAGGTGGGTTTCTGATGAAGACTCATGTGATGAGGGCTTCCTCTTACAAAGATTTGTGCATCAGAAGTGACAAGCAGAAGGAAACTATTTCTCAACTACAGACTGAAAAAGAAGAATGTTTATCATTATCTGTGCTCTACAGAATGAGGTAACCATGTTGACTTTAAATGAAATGTAATAGATTACCCTACAATAGACAATAGATTAACCTCGTTTCATATCTAACCATCATGGAACATTCTCATAAACATTGAAATTTGTTGTGAATTAATGTCATCAAGAACAAACCAAAATATGAGAAATAAATTAAGTTTCTTGAACAAACACAAGGAACCCTATTAGGTTTTACAAAAGAGAGAGAAGAAGGAAGAAGAATAATAATTGGGTAAATTTGTTTTTCTATTCACTTTCTCAATAAGGGTTCAAAGATTACAAGTGAATACCAATAATTAACCTCTTTCAACAACCTGAGAGAACTAGTATATTTATAGACTATTAAGTCAACTAAACAATTGGGCTTAGCAACAAGGCTCAATTCAACATACTAACTTAAATTACAAGTCAATGTATTTTAACATTATGCTCGAATAAACTTTGACTATAGCATACATAACTCTTGTAGAACCATGAAGCTACCCTTGTCAGCACTAGAGTTCGATCCAAATACTAAAAATCTCCACCTTGGAACAAACTCTACAACAAGGGAACAAACTAGCTTTCATCATGCCGCTTTATCAACTGCACACAGTGGAAAAACTTGCTACTTGATAATGTCTTGGTGAACATATCAACATCATTGTCATTAGCTGAAACCTTCAGCGCTTGGACTTCTCCATGCTCTATTATCTCTCTGACGAAGTACAGCCTCACATCGATATGCTTAGCTCGCTCATGATAGGCTAATTTCTTCGATAGGTGTACTGCGCATTGATTGTCATATTTAACAACGATAGCTCGACCTTGAAGTTTCAGCTCTTTAGAAAAACCTTCAAGCCATAATGCTTCTTTCGTAGCTACAGTGAGGGCGATATGTCGTGGTAAGAATCTGATATCAAGCTATTAATTAACTTGAATCACAAATATTTGAAATTTACCACCGAACTTTGATTTATCCAAAGGAAAGGGTAAAGATCGGAAAACCTAATTGCAATGTGAAAACAATGCAAGAGATATAAGGTTTAGGGTTGGTTATACCTAGGGAAGATGCTAACATCCTAAGTATCTGTAGTACTCTACAGGAACCTCTTGTTAGTATTTGTGTTATTTGTTATTGTTTGTTTGCTAAGGGGATAACCTAGGGGTTTATTTACTAATTATGCTCTCCAAGATATCGCATCTCGTGCCTACGTATCCTGACGAGAATGGAATCAGAGCATTCGTAGTTTCCCTCAATAAGGGTGAGGAACTATTGACTATGGTCAAGGTTCCAAGGGAGTAAGTGGTCATAACCATGACACTAGAGTGCGACGACACAATTCCTAAGGCTAGGATAAAAGGGAAGTAATTGGTCATGGCAGGAACTTATATAGAAGTAACTGGTCATGGCAGGAACTTATATAGAGTACGACAACTCTGATCCTAAGGCTAGGATGAAATGGGAAGGACCTAAAGTTAAGTTAAGATGTGACATGGTAGTCAATTTGAATAATCATTTCCTTTGGAGTGGGAATAGGTAACCAGTAGAGTTAAGACCATGAACAAATAACAACATAATGTACAAGGCAAAGATCAAGTCATATAATCAAATCACAGTGGATAAGTATCACGAATAAACATTATCAATTAATCAAAACCAAATATCCAAAATCAACAAAATCGGGCCACAATGGATTATACGAAATCAGTATTATGAAGATAAATTCTAAAATGTACATCAAGAGTTAACTAAAAAAAGAAAATCGAGGATTGTCAGGATAAAATCTAATTAAAACTAATTAAGTTAAGATCTAATTAAAAACTAAATAAATGATTA